ACTAGGCTGGGAATGACTTACAATGCAAATCGCACCAAGTTGTATAGATAATGGTTCCCAAACGCAAAATAAACTATTAGCGCAATTCAAACGAGAATAATATGCTGGGTCATGTTCAATAAATTTCTCAGTCTGATAAAAGGGAGGCAGAGATATTTTTATATTCCTTTTGCTCACAGACATAAAAAGCTTTCCTTTCATGGAGAGAGTATTTTGTTCCACCAAGACGCGTCATAGAACAACAACTATGGATATCCACAAAATCTGATTCCGATACAAGAGAATTACAGAATGTGGAAATGCAATTGACACACATTAACGACTTGACGGGAAGCCACACGAGAATATTTCAATGAATCTGAGAGAAGCTCATCACCCGATAAAGGATCCTGATAAGCTAACATGTTTGAAGAACTTGCTTAACAAAAACAAAGTACCGAAGGAGAAAACAGAACAAATCATCATTTGAACAAAGTAGATTGGCATAATATCGACTTATGTACTGGTAAAGATATTCACCTGATAAATTATACAGAGAGAGTTGTTGAAGTTTGATTCTGGATTGTTTGCTGTTATAAGGAAAAAATTGCATACCAACTTTGTCAATGAACCAACTGGGCGTTTCATTTTAAATTACAACGGGAGTATCGTTTTGAATTCAGATGCATATGTGGAACTCAATTGCAAGCGATCATATTTTTAATAGTAATCGAGATGGAAGTTTGATGTCACTACAGGGCAGTGGTATCAGCTGAACTGGTCTTATTGGTTCTGAAGAAAGTAGACAGAATCAGTTTCAACATTTACACATCAACACTCATTTTCAGTCATATGATCCAAAAAATCAAAATTGAACCGAACTATTGAATGCCCACCCCTAATTTTAACTGTTCTAATAGATCTATAAAAAGTAACTAAGGACCCACGTGCAACACACGTGTCCAGAAACTAGTTGATTTAAAACTCGAATAGTCCATATTGTTGAAATTTAGAAGTCATTCTCGTCTTTATTGATAAGTAGCAAATTTGAATTGTCAAAATTGAACATTAAGTCTCGTACTATAAAGTACTCAAATTATGTGAAGGTGAGTTTGATTCTATTCAAATCTTATATTCTCATTTAATCTATTTCTTGGTTCTGAATTTACGAACCATCTCTAACCGATATGTGGTTCTTCTTAGTTTAGCTTCCAATATATATAATCTAGATGTTCAAAGCTTTAAGTATGAAGAAATCACTGGCTTTAGGTCCCAAACAAAGCATTTTCATACAATAATATCTAATGTCAACATAATATTAAAATAAATTATCATAATGAACAAACCGTTACAGTAGAATTCATTCA